TCTGTGTGACCCTGGGAAAGTCCCCGTTTGCCTCAGTTTCCTCATCTTAAAATGAGCTGGAGAAGAACATGGAAAAGCATTCCAGTATCTTTTGTCAAGAAAACCCCAAATGGGGTCACANCCTGTGTGACCCTGGGAAAGTCCCCGTTTGCCTCAGTTTCCTCATCTTAAAATGAGCTAGAGAAGAACATGGAAAAGCATTCCAGTATCTTTTGTCAAGAAAACCCCAAATGGGGTCACACAGAGTGGGGCATGACTGAAACAACTGAACAACAACATACCCCAGAAGAATAAGAGAAAGGACTGCTTTTGCCTTTCTTTGTATCTCTGGCTTGTAGCACAGTGCCTGGCACATAGTACGTGCTTTAAAAATTCTTGTTGACTGACTGGTAATAATGATAGCAACAATAATAATAGCTAACATTTACATAGTGCAAAATGCTTTATAAATATTATCCTGTTTCGTCCTCAGAACAACCCTGGGAGGGAGGTGTTGTTATCCTCTTATTACCAATGAGGAACCTGAGGCGGATGAGTTAAATGCCCTTAGTCACATAGCTAGTAAGTGTCTGAGGCTGGATTTAAACTAAGGTCATCCTTTCTGCAGGTTTAGCACTCTATCCATTGCTATCAAGAAGTCAGTTAGACTATCTTCTCCTAGTAAAATCCATGAGGTCAGAGATTATGTTTTTTATAAACTTTGTGCTTCTTACAGCCATAATGCTCTACATATGGTAAGTTCTTTTTTTATTTTAACACTTTAGTAATATTTTTTTCTCCCTAGTTATATGTAAAGACAGTTTAAAGTTTTGAGCTCCAAATTCTGTCCCTCCCTTACTCTCCTCTTCTCTCACTGAGATGCAATCTGGTATAGGTTATACATGTGCAATCATGTAAAATATTTCATATAGTAAGTTCTTAATAAATGTTGCATTTAATTAAATGGATTTCAGATTGTCTCTTTTTCTTTATTTAGTCTAGTATTCTTTAGCAAAGAACAAAGTACTTGTCAATACTCCACCCTGTCCCGACCATGACTATTTTAGTTATTGGTGTTAGCTCTAAGTAATTCATTAGTTGGTTGACTGAGTTGGGTTTTTATTATGAAGTGTATGGTTAAGATTACATTAATTTCGTAGTGTCTTTCAGATGAGGCCTTAGAAATCATGGCTCTCTGAATTCAGCCCTTTGTAACGGGAAAGAACTGAAGAAATCTTTGGCAGCCAAAAGATCAACACTCTTGTCTAAGTGTTGTTAATTACGTAGCACTGTAGTTGCTCTATTAAGGTTTACTTTGTTAAAATTCTATAGGTAATTAATTTCAAGGTCATTCTACTTTGGGGCAATTAATCTATGGACCAGTTGCATGTTTTTTTGTTTGTTTTGTTTTGAGGGAGGGTGGAGGGGGTGGAGAGGCAGTTGGGATTTAGTGACTTGTCCAGGTCCTTAATAGGCTGATTTTTCACCTGGGAGATGGTCATCTACCTGAGAATCAGTGTGACTGCAGAAAGGGCTGAGGAAAGGTTAATTGTGGTGTTTGCTGCCTGACAACTCCAGGAGAAATGCCAGGAGCAAAACAGAGGTCTGTATACAATGTTTGTAGGTCTGACCAAGGCCTTTGATGCTGTCAATCATGAGGGCTTATGGAAAATTAGGTCAAAATTGGGTTGCCTGGAAAAGTTCATCAGCATTGTACATCAGTTTCATGACAGCATGCTTGCCAGTGTTCTGAATAATGAACAAGGCTTTTGTGCTTTTCCAGGTCACATAACTATTAAGTATCTGAGGCTGAATTTGAACTCAGGTCTTCCTGACTTCAGGGCCGGGGCTCTATCCACTGTACCACCTAGCTGCCCCTGGACCAGTTCTTTTAAAAAATTATTGCACATTATA